TAAATCCTGTTAGTAATTAAAAGATACGGTAATCATCTCATCACTTTCTTGTCCTAGTTTCACATAACGCGGTAACACTGCCTTGCCATTCCAAATTATATAATGCTTAACATTGATTAATTAAAGGTATCAGCATACTAAACAAACAAATTTTCCGTTGACTTATTTTCACTTGTTTCCAGACACCTTTTTCTGCCTACTCGGAGTTACAATACATGCCAGTTCATTACAAGTAAGTCGTATGGTAGTAAGTGCCACTTGTCGCTAATTTTTTGTTTTATGTAGGATACGATATCTTTGTCTTCTGATGGGTGGAGACCGATTATAGGAAAAAGTCAACTTGAAATACAAGATGAAATAACGTTATATAAAAATCCTAGCCAGACAGATGAAAATAGTAAACCAGTGAAAGCGCAGACGCCACCGCCAACACTATCGTCAAAAGCATCAACGAAATCGTATCAAACAATTTCGGCTACACAAGCAGCAAGTGCTACGAGCAATACGATCAACATTGGTAACAAACAGCCAAGTATGTGTATGCAGTTTGGAGTTCTGTATTACTCTATCTCTTTAATATTGTAGCCGCAAAGTCACACCCAAAGCTGTACAAGCCGTACCATTTAGCTCATGGACATGGGCCCCACATACCACTGACGCCAATGGGCTACAAAGGTAGTCCGCACAGAATTCCTATTCCGAATAAGCATGCACCAATTATGATGGCTCGTCCCATTAGAGGCCCGCATCCAGGACCATCTGTTTCACACAGTATGAGACACGAAGTTATTATTCCCGCACCATCTGCTGCCATAGGTAAGTCTTCTTAAGAAATTTAAAATCTATTTGAGTTGAACGTGGTTTTAGGATCTTTCGCACTGTTCAATAACCATCCTCCTGGATTTTCCAAAAAACATTTTGCGAGTGTACACGGACTAAATGATCCTATATTTCAAAATCTTCCCGTTCAATCATACTTAATTCAGAATAGGAATCCCGTACAAATTGATGGAAGCAATGTATTTAATCACAATGACGAATATACTAGAAATTTAGTTCCGCCGCCATTTAAAGAAATTCACCACGCGAAAGAAAATCCCAATCATTCCAAACCCAAAGAGCATGAGGCATCTTCCACTATTAACAATCCAACACTGGTTATTGGAAAACATAAGGAGCCTCAAAGATTGCCAGATGCTGTTTTAGTACAATTGCCACCTTCGTTTGAAGCAGCGCAATTTGAAGTGCATTCCCAGAAACCCACTGAACAAAAGCCTGTGGAAATACAAGTCACCAAAGAAAGATTGAACGTATTTCACAATAGCATACCAAACAACTATAATCCGGACGGAGAGTATCAATCGCACATCTTCCCAAACATTAAACCTAATGATGATGTGAAGATATATTCATTTGATATAGACGAACCAACACACCAAGTAATAGATTTGCCCAGAAACCCGATCAAACAACAGGATCGTCACAAACAAGAACCCAAAAAAACAAGTGTTGCGCCACATTTCCCTACGTACGAAGTCACGGAAGAAAAACAATGGCAAGAATCTCCTCCGTCATATTTCTCCACAAGACCATCAGTAGTTAAATTTCAAGCCAGCGTTCAACCCGATCTTCCTCAACCTGAGCTCGTATTTTTACCGACACCGTACCATCCAGATAACTCCGTGCCGACGTCTCCTACGCAAAGCGAAATTTCCGAGATCTACAACCAATTAAATTTGAGAAACCGCCAACCTGAAATTTCCACGGAATTTCCGCATTTCTTCAGCATTAAAGAAGTTTCTACTCATTATCCCATATTAGGCAAACCTGAATCGCCGACTATCCTATCAATCTCGGCGGAAAATACCGAATTCTCCAACGACATTACGGGTTCGAGCGAAGAAAAGAATAAAATGTATCAACCGATCAACGAACCTGAACCGACGACACTTCCGCCACCGGTACGCAATTGGCAAGAACAACGGCCTCAACAGCGACGTCGGAGACCTTCTTCAAGACCTCGAACGACAACGGAAGAACCCACTACTGTCACCGAAGTGCGCAATATAATGAAAATTAAACATTCCGACGCAACACGCCATTCAGGTGAAGATTACCGACCGCAACGAAGACGTCGGCCCGCCAGAGTGAGGACCACCTCGACTACATCATCGGAAGAATCTCAAGAGCAAACGACAATATCAAATAAAAGACGAAACCGTGTGCGTCCCTCAAGTGGAGAAAGCGTGGAAGAAATGCCGTTAAATCACAAACTGACGGGTACCATATCATATTCGGTTATGCAACCTGTAGGTGAAACTTATATTAATAGTGAAATGAATCCACCAGTTGAAGACGTTCCTATAAGCTATGAGAACGAAGTTACAAAGGGTGACCACAAATTTGAAAACTTGCAGATTCAAACGCAACCTTATGATACGAAAGACGAAGAGGACAATTTAAATGACCCAGAAGTAGACACTGATATGACGACCACCACGCAATCGACGACACAAACTAAGAAAAGGACTCGCCACACAACAACTTCTCCAGTAACAGAGACGGCACCAATTACAGTTCCAGTTCGAAATCTTGAAGTGCTCACAGAGTTGAATCATTTTGAACCGTCCAGAGAGAGCATAACGATTCAAGAAATATACACTCAAGCAACCGAAGAACCGCATGAAGAAACAACATTATTGCCTACCACAACAACTACAGAAGCGCCCACATCTGTTAAATCACATCGAATACGCACCAGGCCTCTTTACGACACCAAAAATCGACCGCGATTCAGTGTTAAAGAATACAGACAGCGTTTGACTCAGTACACTTCAACATCTACAGAAACATCATTACGATCAACAACAGAAGCGCCCTTCAGATCGAGATACCCAAATCGTTCTAGGAAAACGACCACGGAGCGGAACGACAACGACCCAACCGAAAGAAGTAAATTCATTCCCAAAGATCCAAGACACGGCACTAGCACCACGACATACAGCGAAAGCACCTCCGAAAGAAAAGTAAACACGCGGTTGCGACCATTTGGTCGACAAAGAACAACCGAATCCACCACCACCACGACCGCATCACCACCCACACCAAGATCGGTAGTAAAACCAAACGTATTCTCCAATTTAAAACGACCACCGCCGGTTACACTAAGACAGAGGATCTATAACAAATACAACCGGACAAGTACGTCCACGGCGTCACCCGAAGAAGAAGAAGAAGGTCCAGTTAAAAAGACAGACACTGATACTGATACGACTCACTCATTCACTAACAAAGTATTGCAAGTGGATAGTTCAGAGGACGAAGAAGAGAATGCGAGCAACACCGAATTGATGAAGAACGATGTACTTTTGCAATCGCAGCGAGTATCCGACTTGACATCGTCCGCCCACAAGGAGTACGAAACACCTGGACTGTTTAAATCGGTATCGCCAAACACGAGAATAGTCCCAAGCTACTTCACCCTATCGACGGACGACCCTATTTTACCAATAGAGGCGTTCTTTACGAATTTGAAAGATAAGAAAAATGAATCTTGAATAATTGTAATATTGTGATATTTTTGTACTTAATCAAGTTTGTATAAAACCAGAGGGTTGTGTCTAATATTAAGACAACTGTATAAATGAATTATTTAAATCATAAATAGGTAGGTAATTTAGGTTAAAAGCTAAGAGTAGGTAGCGTGATAATGTTAAAATATTTATTTATTTGTAATTATATTATTATTTCTTAATTAAATTAATGTAAATATATACGAGAGAATTCGAAAGATAAATAAAAGATTTACAAAATTAGTGTCTTCTCAGTACACACGACGGTAACCCCCTCTGAAATCAAACGCTGCGCTGTTTATAAATGTTGAGTAGGTAAGGCATAATATGCTTCTCTGATTCTGCTCCAAAATTTCAAACGACTGAATATATAAATAAATACCATGACAATAAGCTATCCAGAACATGCAAGGGAGAGTGGCATATAGGTATGTACATTTTAGCCTAGGGGTGAAATATCTAGTGGGTGACTGTTAGCTGAGTTAGTATTCGTTCGTTTAGAGCCAAAAGTACATGAATTTTACAATCATAATTATATTGGAATGTTGGAAAGTATTTAGTGCTGTATATAAAGTTAAGCGATTATGAGGTTTATATTGGAACCGCAGAATTCTAATGCTAGGATATACAGTTTAAGTCTCTTATGAGTCTGAAAGCGACAATAACTTAGGGGTTGATCGTTATAGGGTTAAATTCAGGGTTAAAATGAAGCGACGATTTCTAAATTCTAAGTTCCGTAGAAATCACACATGTTCAGGAGCTCAAACCCGGCCGAAATCAAGCTGGCCCTGGTACCCACCCTTGTTAGTTTAACACCCGTTCGCGTTGCTAGAACAGACCTAGTTGTAGAGCGCGTCCAAAAAAAGCATGATCATTACCACGAACCATTACCCTATGATACGAGGGTTTTCACGAAAAAAGGTTGCAAGAATGTATTGCATACATATACATACAATTGCAATTTTAAGCTCGGTCCTACATTCATTGGAAACTTGGCACAAGTTTGGTAACAACTGCATCAAATGACATTTTTGTGACATTGCCTTTTGGTTTTTACTACACACTGTAACGAGGGCCCTTTAGAGTTGTTGATTTTTTTTCGAATTTTCATTAGGGTAGCTTAGTTTTAGAAGTTAAGTATTAGGAAATATACATGGTGTTCCCATAAGGGAATTGTTATTGATTTCAACACTTTAAAAGTCAATAGGTTCTAAATGAAATGAGCGATCTATAGTTTTATGAGTCGCTGCGGATCCGTGCGGATCATGCGACCTGTTAATGGATTAGGAAAGTTACTCGTGACAGTCTGTTGGTCGTTAGCTAGCGATAATCCGTGCTCAAAACCGTAAGCCTCAAGACAAGATCATGCGACCTTATGGGAATTGGCAGTTTTAAAAATGGTCTTTGGTTTGCGCGTTGGGTAAAACTAATCAGCTTAGCTAATGGATAAAGATGGCCGCGTTAACTAATTAGCGCCATTTTGTCGGTGGTTCTATCAAATTAAAAAAAGTAGCGATGCGCCCGGGTTGCCGCCGGGAAGAAAAACTAAAGGGATATTCTGCGTTTAGCTATAGAGTTTTCCACGTTTATAGGCTCGCGAGAGTTTGAAAAAAGAGTAAGTTTGTAAGCGCGAATAGTGTGCCCGCGAAAATATAACGGTTGGTTAGATTCCAGGTTAATTCTGGGTCGAAGTAAAAATGCTTGTCCATTTTAAGAACGGTAAAATGAAACATCCGCTGAAAACACTTTGGTGTGCAATTAATACGACTTTTTTTAGATGTCGTATAAATAAGGTAATCAATTGTAATTATTATACAGGGTGTCAATTTTACAACTTGCAGTCGGCCATATTTTCCAAACTAAAGAAAATATTGAAAATCGTGCAAAACCGTTTCAGGGGTATCGAAGGGGAACAAAAATGACGTTATGAGTGACAACCACCCACCCCCATTAACCCCCCATCCCCCCCTCTTCAAAAATCCCAAATGGCAACCCCATACTTGTGACACATCGTTGGAAAGCTACTGAAAAATGCTTTCCAGTGGTACCAATAAATTCAATATTCATTAAGGCAATTTAACAAAAATTTAATAATTAACAAAAAAAAATAAAAATTAAGCCATGCCTATGTTCAAGATTTGGTCGCTAAATTCGAAGAAACGGGATCTGTTTATCAATAAAAAAAGAAAGCAACCAAGATTGGTTAATGAGCAGCTCAGGTTGAAGTTCTTGGCCAATTTGCCATAAATCCCTCAATGCCGAATTTAGTTTTTTTTGTTAATTGTTAAATTTTTGTTAAATTGTCTTAATGAATATTGACTTTATGGTACACTGGGGGCCTGGGGGGTTAGGGGGTGGGGTGGGGAGTTGTCACTCATAACGTCATTCTGGTTCCCCCTCGATACCCCCGAAACGGTTTTGCGCGATTTTCAATATCTTCTTTAGTTTGGAAAATATGGTCAACTGCAAGTTTTAAAATTGACACCCCGTATGCGTATAAACTTGGTTAGAAGGTTAAAAAGTTTTTCACTTTGTGTTCAGTAATCAGTACCGAAAATCTGAGTCAATAATCTAAAATATCCTGTCGTAACTCAACAAACCGAACGCACAAAGAAAAACAAAAACTAACTGATGCAGCAGACGACACTGACTTCGTTTGGATTTCACATGTAGAATTGATATGACATTTGATAGTGGAAAGACTCCCTTTAACTGGGGCGGGGAAAGATTCACATTAGCGATAAACGATCGATAAAAACAACACTTCGACTAACTCTTTCGTAAACTTCATTTCTTTAATCCTATTTAGACATTCAGTTTTATCACAATGACTAAAATCTCTTTATACACTCTCTAACTTTCTTCCACAAAACTTTACAATAAAAAAAGACTGACCAAAATTCGACAGTTAACGTCCACTAGCAAACAAGCAACGATTTGCGTCTTCCTCTGCTATTGAAAGCAATTTTCCTTCTTATCAAATTATTGCGTCGTAAAAACTGACACCTTTCTACTTCGGCGATAACGCGTGCTTATCTTTAAATTAATTAGCCCACACAGCCATAACGGAATTTTTTATCGCAACGACCGGAGTTAGCACTTTTACAAAAAAATAAACTAAAGCTTTTAACAGGTAAATTCTTTAAAATTAAATAAACAAAATACAAGCGATTATTTAAACAATTCTGAAACAAAATAATTGAAATTCACACCTATACAGGCTGACCCATCGTTATTATATAGGTGCTGAAGCGAAACAAAACGTCCGCATGACGTAGTTTTTAACACAACAATTTATTCGATATCAAGATGGTTGAAGGCGGGAAGAGATCATCTTTGAATTTTTAGGTAAAAAGCACCATTTTTGTTGACTAGGGAAATTGGTTCAAAGAATATTCGAGCTAGCTGTGGATACATTTTGTGGAAAAAATCTAACATTACCTTCAACAAAAATTTAAATAAAACCAGCAGGGATTGTACCCACTGTGAAATGTAACCCCTGTTACAACACACAGCTAGGGGAATCTTATCCGTGGACCCAAAGAATGATCTGTTTAGAATCGAGGGATAATGCAACTCTAACTGCAATAGTTTATTTATACAGGGATAAAGTTCTGGGGCGATCAATTATCTGAGTTATCTTTTTGCAAATTCGGTATTTGTATAAGTATAGAACAAAGAATGTATTGTCTATATATAATATCCATTTTAACGAATCAGATTCGATTGAAAGTTATTTACTAAAGACGGAAACAGACGATTTCTAAAAAAATAAATGTCTCGGGTATTATAAAAAAGATGAAAAAAACTTAGATAGATAGCCAATTCAAGATAGCATATCAACTTTATTCCATTAAATGGACGCTATATTATATTTTGTACGACTGTGTTGAATTTTATTCAGTGGTTGAATTCACACAAAAACAACGCAAAATCGATTTGAATATTGAATTTTGTGCACGATATGCGAAAAGTAACAACTCTATAAGGCTATAGTTTATTTATTTATTATATAACGAGCATTGAAAGCGATACATTTCACGCAAGTGTGAAAAATTGCTTTCAAGAGAGCTGTACACTAGTTTTACTACCACTTTGTTTGTTGCGATTATTAAATGTATATGGGCTCTAACTAAAAAGTGAAAACTTACCCCTTAACCCAGACGAACAGCTTAGGAAGCGCTCCACACGACGATGTTACCATTTCAATAACTGAAAAGATCAAGTAATATGTATTACTAGGAGGTTTTATTGCTACATGTGAAAATTCATGATCTCGTGTAAAACGACATCAGAAATTAATTTGAGCGCATTATTTTAAATATTAGAAGTTGGTTAAATCTTTCATAGTATCCTAATGAAAAGTTTCAATGAAAGGCTTATGTAATTTCTAACGACCACACATATCCTTCTTGGCCCCTTATAAAGGTCGGTTATAATTTCTCATATGTCACGAACGGAGTGTCACAGAAGGGTACTCTCAAAGGGCGACCGGAGTGTATGGCCTTGATCTTTTTTGCACTATATACAAGGTGAGTTTTTTTAAAGTGTTACAAGAAAAATGCTTCTAAATATTCGTATGAAATTTTGGTACTTACTTAATAAGGATATGGGGGGCCAAAATTTTAACATGTATTTTACATTTTTTCTTTTCTGAATTTTTAGAGGTGAGTGGAGGGGGGGGGGTGATTTTGATATTTTAAATGAATTGAAGCTCTTTTGTTTCAAAATTTCAATTACGTAAAAAACTAGGTATGTGTTAGTATGTTGTTAATTTGACAACTATGTTAAAATTTGCCTCCCCCCCCCCCACATCGTTATTAAGTTACCAAAATTTCATAAAAATATTAAAAACCGTTTTCAAGGTATCGCCTTGTAACCTTTTAAAAAACTGACTTTGTTGAGTAGATTTTGAAAGTGTGTCAGGTGGCCTTTAAACATTTATGTGTGAAGACCTTCCCATTAGTCTGTCACATCTAACTAAGAATTTGCCTTAAGTAGTCATCAGGGTGAATGCTGAATGATGTGCAAACGCATAAGAAGCAGTTAAATAAAGTGACGTGCTACTTACGTCTTTCATTACAACAGTCCCCATATGATCAACAGCATCGATGGTTGCCTGGATCCGATCCACCATCACCAGTAGAAGTAGTAAACCACAATTGCCACTGCGAACAACGAATAGGATTAGTAAAAAACCAAGCAATGTAAAAAATTTAGGCTTACTTTGGAAAAGAAATCTCCGCTCTTCGTGTAATGATAATGAAGTGTAACAGTCCTTGAAGTTATTTTTGGCTTAGAAGTCGAAGGAGCGACTCCAATAATTTTTCATAGCTAGTTACTGCATAATAGTTGCAGGCATGTCTATAAATCTAAGGTAACACTGATTAATATGAAGCAAAAAAGCATGGTTGATGCTGCAAAAGACACCATGATGTGAAGTGTCACATCTGTCAATCTCACGTCATGAAGATCGTAGACTGAGGTACGACCATATACAACATTACGATACAAAGGTCAGTTGAAATGGTTGTTTATCTTCCTGGGCTGATAAGTGATAAGCACAAAAAAGTAGGCACATAAGTAATTATAATGCTTGAAGGCAGCTCACGTTCTCAATCTTTTTAAAGAAATGGAGGTGGGGCGTTGGACATCCGCAGATGACTCAAGTGGTCCCACTGAACCCCCGAAGATTCACTTACCGTGTGATCGTACTAAAGACGCATAGCATTCCTCCAAGCCAGTCAGTTAAATTACGAAGCAATATGTTGGGTGACAGATAAAATCTGGGAACCAATCTCTTTTCAGATGACTCTAGTCTCACCCATACCGTTTGATACGGAGCTAAGTGATTTTCGAGAAGGATTAGACATTCCTCTCTCTGTCAAGACTGTACTCCCTAAACTTCATCTGGTATTAAAATTAAGGTGTAAACCTTAGAGGATTGCTAAAATATCTTCCAGTACAATAATTATAAAGACAAGGAGACCTTTCTGATTTTCATCACTATCACTACATCACGATCGCGGGTTTTTCCCCGGCACGTTTCTGCGCATTTTTACGGAAAGATGGCTCGAGTGGATCCAACAATGACTTTGAATGTAAACGTGTTTCTAAGATTAGAGAAAGTAACGTCTAGTAATGTGGTACATTCTCGAATTTCAAAGTTATAATATAAAAAGTTGAGATTATTATGTGGGACTTTTTCTCAGTATGACAGTATGTAAATGCAACTAAGTACCGATTAGTTAATAACTTTTTCTATGTCATCTGACGTGCATTTTAGAAATGCAATAGGCCTTATACCCGCGCATGTAAATAGAAAGATCCTACCTTGATTTGATAAGGCTGCCCTTCTGGAATCTGAAACGAAAAATATATAGGTAAGTATATTGGATTAACATTAATCAAAATATTTAATTACCACTTGCCCTTTTATTAATTCGCTCTCGCCTGGGAAGAACAGCTAACCAGCTCGAAGCACGACGCCATTTTCTACACTACCATAACTGAAAAGTTAAATACTCGTATTATATATCACAAGGAGGATCTAATATGCGATAATGCGTGATTTATGTAATAGGATATTATCAGTTGCTTTTTTCTACATTTATTTAAGAAATCGGAAGGGGTTAGTCTGACATAGCAATAAGGGTGATTGATTGGCTACGTTAGAAGAAGACATGTGACATACTACTCACCTCTTTCATTTGAATAGTTTCCGGGAGATCAACAGGATCGATGATTGGCTGGATACGATCTAATTCCCTTACAGCAGCTCTTGAGTCCCGGTCCACGATAGACAAGATGACACTGCGAACTACGGATGGATTAGTATGTTACCAGGCAATGTAGGAATTGAATCTCACTCACCTATAGAAACCAAAAAACTGATCTTCGTGTAATAATCAAGGAAATGGAACAGTCCTCACACTCAGCTTGGGAACGGAAGATGGTTCACAATAAGTCTTTATAGTCTGACTCGCAAAAAAACCAATTACCTACTTCATGAGTATGGCCATGAATTCGTGGTCATACTCATTAATATGAAGTAGGTAGTTGATGCTGCGAACGAGACCATACCAAGTCATCGCTGCCAACATTTCGTCATCAAGTTGTTAAACTGAGAAGACGCTCACAACTCACAGATTATTATGACACGAAGGTTAGCTAAATTTGTTGATGATCTTTTTAATCACTGTTTCACTGTTCACTTCCCCCACTGCTAAATACACAAAAAAATGGCAATACCCCATGCATAGAAAAGGAAAAATCCTACCTTTATAAGGCTGCCCTTCTCGAATCTGAAACAAAGAATAAATTTACGTTCAAACCTTGTAGCAAACTACATTTAGTTTAAATTTCTGTAGAGCTATGGCTTTATCTGAATTGCTCTATGAAAACCGCGAAGTTTAAGAATTCTGAACAAAGAAAACGAGTATACAGGGCTCGTGATTTTAATAAAAAAAATAGCTTCTATAGCTACATATGCTCCAATTAAAAATCGAACACTCACCCTTTAGCCTTATTCATTTAGTCTCTCCTGGGAAGAACCATAACCTCGGCGGAGAGGAGGACACTGCACAACCGTACTGCACCCAGAAGTCAGTAGACATATGCTCCATTGCCATAACTGAAATGTAAAATACTACCTATATACCACAAAGGGCAAAATTCTTTCCAAAAAAGTTACACTTATTTTCAATTAGTGGAAAAGTTGATAATGAATTTAATGGTGGGGTTCTAGTGAGAAGAAACTATCGAGTAACGGCAAATTTAAAGTAGGACTTTAGTTGAGTTGGTTTTACACATCGTATTTATTAACGATGAGGACCACACTATAATATGATCGAGATTAATAATATCGTACTCACCTCACTCGCTTGAGCGGTGTGCATGTGATTCTGCAACTGGGTCATGGATGGACGTGGAGCGGGCCTAGTCCATCACAAGAGTAGACGAAGTCCAGCAATGATCCTGCGAACAATTGAGAAAAAAATTGTAAGTGCGTGCAAGAGATTTGCGGAGTATTCGTTTATTAAAAATTACCAAAGCAGAGACTTTGGAGGAAATAGTTCATAATAAACGAATACGCTTATAGTGTTCAATCTCACTTACCTTAAAGTTAAGGTGCTACTAAGTGAGATGTAACCACCCTCGAAATCTTTCGGCTATCAAACACAAGCGCCTACTTCACAAACCTATTGTGGCTATGAATTCATAGTCACACTGATTAAGGCTGAAATCAAGCTCTCGCCACTAACACGATAGATTGCAAAGATGGCTATAACTCACTTAGTACCACCATACGAAGATCACCTAGTTTATTTACCTTTTAGTCACTGTACACTATTCACTCCCCCCTGCAGCTAATTACACAAAATATATATTATAACATATACCCACATGCAAAAAGAAAAACTCCTACCTTTATAAGGCTGCCCTTCTGGAATCTGGAATAAAAGGAAAAATTTAGGTGCTAAAGATGAAAATATTTATGGAAAACATTTCTGCATAAGACTTGTGCACAAGTTATACTTGTAAAACAAGATTTGTGTGCTAATTGAATAATAAACGAATATTCCTATTTTCTTAGGAGATTTGCTATTTTTATTTTTTGAAGTAGCTCTCGGTACCTTAATGCGATTCTAACTGTGATTATTCAGTTTATTATTTTATGGTACAAATTAAAATGTAAAACAAACTTACCCTTTAGCCTTATTAACTCGAACTCTCCTCGGAAGAACCATTCTCCACCGGACGGATGACATGAAGCACAACGACACTCGTTACACTCGCGCACCTTTATCTTCATTACCAATGACTGAAAGTAAAATATTACCTTACAAACCGCTGGAATCAATTCGTGTTTTTGTGTAAAAAATACTGTTAAATAATTGATTTACACCGCTCACAGCGAACAATTGAAGGAAAAAACATCAAACGCGTAAACGTCTTGCGTTTCCCATGATGAAATTGGTCTAAAGTCAAAATTTAAAAAAAAAGCTCTACAAATAAGAAAGTTGTCGCAACGCGCTTTTTGCTTGGTTTCTTTAAGGTAACCTATAAATGACGTGGGAGAAAACGTCAAACAGATAAGCAAGTTCTGTTTGGGATGTGTACACTCGACTTTCACCATAGGAGTTCTACTTACTTGGGCCAAAAGGGTCGAATATCAATGTTCACTAAAATTTTCACTCCCTACTAAATTAGGTATCGAAAAAAACGGTAAATTAGTGTTGATTTTAACCAAACTCCCAAGTTTTTTCATCTCATCCCTTTAGTCGGGGTAACTTAAGAAATGTAAATGCCAAGATAGGCCGTGTGATGTATGATCTAAAACCTCATTTTATTGTCTAATCAGATATATTTTTATTTCCAACGCTATCAAAAAATGGATGTACAGTGTGTTATTTTTCTTGAGACTGCAGTGATAAGAGACTTACGGTTTTCGCGAAAAAAGAAAAAACATTGTCCATTTTAGATATTTCTACGTACAATCCAGTGGAGAAGTAAAAAAAAAGGTTAGACCATCCTTTCTGAGACTTGACCCAAAGTTGGAATGTCAATTTTGTTGTACCTATTCTTTTTCCTGTTTCCTGGGGGATTTCTTTATTAATCTTTAAGAGCTGCAAATTTCAGAGACGCCCTGTTACTCTTTCGCAGTTGAGAAATGTGAGAACGACGATATATTAACTAAATTATGAGTAATTAAGCAATGACTTAAGGCCGAAACCCATTGGCAACACGCCACGCCACGCTACGCCACGCCACGCCATGTGACGAAAATGTATGCGTATATTCATCCATTTATTTACATGTACCGCGTACACACTTGACACACGCTATGCCACGCCACGCCACGCCACGCCACCTCACGTGTGACGATTCAAAACCCTCAGATGTGACCGACGCGTGTTGGTACGTGTGAATGTTCCCCGGTCGCCTCTCCACTCCCGCGGCAATCTGTTTCGGTATTCCGCGGGAATGTTGCCGATAGATGGCGAACAGAACAAGTAGAAAATCACCTAAAATGCTTTATTAAGCATGCAATTGTCTTTAACGAATGAGTAGAACGTTTTTAAATATGGTAATCAAAAAAGGAAAGTTAGGTTTAGGTATTAGAGGATTTAATACACACAAATCCATAACAAAATAACTGATAAATCGAAATTCAAAGTTAAACGACAAATGATTTTTATTTGTCCAAAAAGCGGGGATCGTTATTTTAATATACCCTCACAATAAAAACAATAATAGGGTAAACAGACGTTCTTTTGTAGAAATACATTTCCTAAATGTTGTATTTCACTTTTTAATCCTATCTTTCACAAGATTATGTAGATAATGAAATTGCTCTTTGTCCATACGGAAATATATGGTATCGACTACGATCTGCCTCCAGCTCTCTCATTAAAACATGAAAAGCAGCATATTTTTCCCGGTTTTGGTTTATTTTGTGCACCCAGAATCTTCTTTTTTTTCTGATTCAAAACGATGGCAGCAGCAGCACATTCTTCTAAAGAACTCTCACTAGACGAACTGCTTGCGCTAGTGTAGTCCATCGCACTCAAAGTTACTACCGTATTCTGTGGTTACTACTGCCAATTTTTTAAATAAAATGACAAGCGTGTCATCACGTGGCGTGTTACAAATATGTACACAAACTATCCCACGTGAACCTATGCCACATGGCGTGGCGTGGCGTAGCGTGGCGTGGCGTGTTGCCAATGGGTTTCGGCCTTTACAAGTCATACATCTGCCGGTTTTAGAATTTTTGGATTATGAATGGATTGGCTTAAAATTTTGACAGGAAGTTGGAAGTAGCTCAAAGATCGAAATCTACTTATGCCAATACACACTTTCACCTAATCTCGGGAGTAATAACAACGGGAATCGACACATGTAAAGGACCGAGACAGGGATGCCTGCTTAGCCCAACCTTATTTAATTCCTATATAAGAGATATGGAAAAAATACGCCAACAATACAGTAGTTGATTGTTAATTACTATTGTATCTTTAGTTAACATTTTATTTGGTTTAAGGTGATCTTTTTAAATCCTTAGAAACTTTATATCGATGAGATGGTTTTGTAGAAAGTCAACAATCAAAAGCATAAAAAAATTAAAGGATTCAAAAGTTCTGAAATTTGAACATAATACCATGATGATATCTGAGAAATTAAAAATCAGTTCCGGCCGGAAAGGGATTCCATGAGTCGCGATTGATAATTATTTGATTAAATTGAGAAATATAATGAGTTAATCTCTTTAATGATAAGGTTTCTGAAACTAGAATTTTACCTTCATTTGACATAAGCCAGGACATAAGCTTTTCACAACTTCAAACCCTGAGAATGTGGTCTGCAAAGTAATGAGAGCTTTAAATTTTAAATTTTTTTGTAAATTGGAAGTTCAAGATATTTAGGGTTTGTTGGAGATCAGTGAAACGTGGTTTTAGTTTGAATTTCATTATCAAAAAAGGTAGACGTATTGAGGACATCCTTGGACTTTCCTCATGAACTACATGGAAATCAAAGAATTTTCCTAGGCATTCTGTTTTGTAACCCCGAGCGGTACAAAATTCAAATTACGCATATGAAATTTCGTGCGATATCAAGACTGCGTCGACTGCATTTGATTTCGGCACGTTATGCAAGTTATTGTGGAGTGATTTTGGGGTGATTTTTGCAAAAATGTAGATGTAGTGTGGGGGTGGGCATCCCTCAGTTTCCAGCCTGTACAGGGTGTTTTTTGGGAGCTTTAGTACTTAGTAGTTTTGTACGTGGAGTTACTCTGAAGCCGGAATCGATGTAAAATATTTTCAAAATAGTGGCACTTCCGGAAATGCCACCACAAGTAGCTA